TTTCCCCCCCCCCCCCCCCCCCCCTCCCAGGATGCTGTTATGTCCTCACTGAAGCAAAGTCTCAAAGTGCACATAAAACATCTAATGGCAAGGGTGGAAAAAATCTGCTCCTTGTCTAAAAGGCCATGGTTTAGCCTGGGTAGGAGCTGCTGGCCCTGCTCCAGAGAGAGTATAAGTGATATAAAGGGAATTCTGCCTGAATAAAGAGCTGCAGACTGAACTCCTAAGGAAAGCCAACTCAGAGTGTTTGAGTACATTAAAGGAGGTCAAATGTTAAGTAAATATTCAATTAAGGAAGTAATTAGTAAGGCTTATTGTGTGTTGAAATGATCTGGATGGTGCACACATACACACTCATCCCATCACCTCCATACATACAAAGTAAGTCTCAGTTCTTGAAAGAGTAGCTCAGCTTCCGCAAAGCTGTGTTAAATCACCAACTCTGCCGCTGACTCAGTTTTCATCATGAACAGGTCATTAGTTTTGTTGCATGTCCACTCCCCAAACCCCCAGGACAGTGAAAATAAGTATATACCAATTGAGACAGCAATGAATCCAAATCTATGTGTATATGTAGGTTTGTATCCATTAAAGCAAGTACTTGCAGCAATTACAGCACTCCAAGAATTTCTAAGAGGTCAAGTGAATGTTCTTCTGTCCCTAGATCTAGTCTTAAAGTAAGTCCTGTGTGAAGCAGTCTCACTATTGAAAAATAAAATGTTATTCCACTTCAAGCACTGGAACAACACTACAGTGGGTAGCTGGCATCTATCATGGACATATGAAAAGAAGCAAATGCCTTATGCAGTGTTACATAAAAGCCATTAGAAACACCAAGCCTGGCTGGCCTGAACCTATTTGGCCTATAATCTCATCTACTGCAACATAGCTCTCACAACCGACATGCAGAGGTGGAGAGATTCTAAAAATAACCAGTGCAGGGAGAGAGGGATGAGGAAGAAAATGTCTCTTTGGCCTGGCCGACAGATTGTGCGGCAGCTCACAACGCCCAAGGAACACTTGGTTCCAGTCCTGCTCCGTTAGCAACCCTTCACCCTAATGTCTCCGTGGCAGACCATTTATGGAAACTTAACATGGCCTGAATACATATATAAAGACATGTAAGAAGGGATTTTTTTCAGCCTGAGGACAGGCCAGAAATTGTCATGAATCAGCCAAAAGAGAGCCCTGACACAAGACAAATCTAGCTGTCAGTGAACTTATGTAGGACATCACCCTGATGCTAAGTCAAGTATACATAGCTGCTAATTCAGTAACAGGGATCTAGTCCCCAGCCTGTTTAGCTAGAGGTCTCTTATATGAGCTGTAAAATTGGATTTAAAAAAAAAATAATCACACTCACATGTTGCTCTCTGCTTCCCCGAACAAACCACTCTGGGGAAGCCAATGCAAAACGATTTTCTTGTGTGCAAGCCTTCCTCCTCTGCTGGACTGTTATCCCAGGGCTCAGATTTTAGTCACAGGGTCCTGTCACAGCTTTATGGCACGCTGGGAGAAATACTGTTCTTCCCCTCTTCCACTTCCATTCTCATTTAACCACAGCACATTCCAATTCTCGCACAATTGGTGCTGCATAAGTGAAAAAGGCTTCCCGTAAAGTACTAGGAAAAGTGATGAGAGCAATATAATTGGTCTATGTAGATTAACAGTCCCAGCACATACAGCACATTTGATATGAAGTCAGAGAGCTAGGTTTATACAGTACCTGGGAACAATTTGCAAGCAGACATAACACCCAGATTTCATCTAACATTTTCTGCCACCTTGTATCTTATCACTGATACGGACTTCAGGTTACTGCTGAAAGATGGGCAGATATGGCAGGAGCAGGAGATTAGGCACAAGATACCACTAAAGCCAGCACAGATGTACTGCATCCCAAACCCTGCCCTTGCAAACTGAGTGTGTCCTGATGGAGCAAAACACAGAGAGAGAAGTCTGGCTAGATGTGCAGATCCCCAGTCACCCACTACAGTAGGACCTGAAACACCACAGCTACACTCCCAATGCTGTGTGCAAGTTATATCAGAAACAAGATTTAACAGTTGGCTGGTTAGGATAAGAGCAAGCAACAACAACAACAACAAATTTTACTTCCTTCCCTATAATCAAAGGTTTTCTCAGACTTCTTGTGCTATTTTTCTCCCAAAGAAATTCAGAGATATGCTGGAGTAATAGAGGATAGACAGCCTGTAGCCCTCATATAATTATCAGCTGTCATCTCATCTGAGAGACAACACAGAAAGGCTCCTGCTGCATCAGATGTACAATTAACTTCTTCTCTAGCAGGGGCACTGCATGAGTGGAAACAGTTTGGAGGCTCTTCTTTCTCCCAACAAACACGACAAAGCTGTGCTCTCAGTTCAAACCTGGGAATAGCTCTATTTTGACCTTAGTCTCACTCCTTCAATATTACTGTCATTGATTTATATGGAAAATCAGTTGTTATCTTATAGCCTTAGACTATGGTTAGTGCTGCAGCTCTGTGTCCTGCTCTGGAGATGGCATTTGCAGATACGTCATCCCAGGGCACAGGTAGACTGTGCAGGGTAAACTGCACTGGGCTTCTCCTGATGTACAGTGTGTGTGGATGGTCCGCTCAGATTCACAGATCTCTGCAGCATTCCATTCACAAGAAAACATGTTCAAACCCACACCGAAACTTCAAATCATGCAGCCAGAAATGCATTACACAATTTGGTTTAACTTCATCTCACCACGGTATAGCATAAACATAATTTGGCTTATATGATATAGCAAACCCTATCTCTGCTCTTGCAGCTGGTGGGATCTGTGCTGTCATTTCACAGGCTCCTGAAAAGTCCCTGTGGGCTTGGATCTCACTAAGTGCTCAACAGTGAGTGACTCTCCAGAGTGTCACGCTGCATGGCAGATTAGTGCCCCATACTTATCCAAAATATTAGATGACCATTCACACGCAGCATCTGGATTGTCCAGTGCAAGACATGTGCCCTGTATATGGGCTCAGCACTGATGTGGATTTTGCCCTTTACAGCATTTGGAAATAAGACAGGGAAGCAGAGGCACAGGATATTACAGACTCATGACCTGTTTGGAGCAAATAATGAAAGGTGAACTGTAAGAATCCAGGAAGAATGGAATATTCAGAGGGTCAGGGTGGCAGCAATAAAACATCACATTTCACATTACTATTGAACAGAGCAATTTATCAGATACTCTCAGTAAATTGTAATACTGATTCCACTTCCCCACCCCAGAAATAAACTTGTGTTACATACCAGTTGCTGAGCAGATGAGTATCTACAGCCAGTGCTGCCCAGTGACAAAGCTACCATACAGCAACTACTCCTGGTCTTCAAAAGGACAAAATTTACAGACAAGACAATGTCAAGATAAATCACTGATTAAATAAAAGAGAAAGTCACTGCAAATTCTGCTTAGCATTTTTCATGCCACTTCATAAAGAGAATGGAACAAACTCAGAACTTGCCAAAAGGAGAAAGGCAATATGCCAAAGAAATCAACACCTAGCACATAGCATACAGCCAACAAGTTCAAATTCTGACAGCGGAAAAAAGGCAACAGCAAACCCTGTGCAAATAATTCACCAGTAAAGATTTGGAATGAGGAAAAAGACTTTAACATGGGCCACTGAAGTTGAGCCCAAACAGGGATCAGTGACACTAAAATCACGTTAACTAATGTAAAATGTTCCCTCTAAGAAATGGAAAAAAATCACATAGAGCTTTAGAAGTGCTGTGTATTTCTAAAGCACTGGACTGCTGATGCAGTCTGAATCCTGTGCAGGCAAGGGCAGAACATACCCATCTGTCACTGTCCCTTAACCAGATGTTACTGCTCCTGCTCATCCACCAGAAGAGCTGATCACACCAATGCTCTCACTCTCCATTGCAGCACAGAGAAACATATTATGGTTTTAAAGTCCAGAAGTCAGTGGACAGCCAGTGAGCTGTCATGTGCACAGAAAAGCTCTTCCAGAAGTGATGTTAGTATGGCAGTTCATCAGCCTTCCACCCCTGGCACTGGAGCCCAAACTCCATGTGTAGTAGGGGGTGTGTGGAGTTCACGATGAATGGGAGGAAGCACTCCAGGCATACCTGGGAAGACACTCCTTGGAGCTGCTCTCCCTGGGTTCTGCTACTTTCATACATAGTCAAAAAAGCAAGACTGTGAATGAAGTGAAGCTCTGGACCCATGGTTAGGGAGGAGGTAGACCAGGATGTGACCAAAACTCTAGTGATTACTAAAGGTTTTCAAAGGATGGCTGACACACACTGCTTTCTCCTGCGCAGGGCTGTGGGGCTGGAGCCAGCTGCTTAAGCACTTCTGCACAGCACAGCAGCTCTCAGCTGGGCTGGCATCCACCCCTCTGACTGTGTCCTGTGCACAAAAAGAGGGAAATTCCTGGTCAGGCAGAGAGCTTGGGCAGTTTTCCCACAATGGCTGTTCCATACCTGCATCTCTAAGCAGCAAGATAGAGAGACCTGTAAATATTTAAAACAGCATTTATTAATCTCTTCCTTGTTTCTTCTATATAAATGTTACATAACTGCTTTGGGAATAGGGCTCCTGAGTTTTAAGCATGAACTGGTACAGCTCCTTTTACTCTAGTAGAACCATTACAGGCCCCACTCTAATCTCACAGTGGCATCAATCAGAATTTCATTAAAGCTCAGTTACACCAGCGCTAGAGTAATGGAGAACAGAGTTAGACCCTTGAAGTGTCCTTCAGTCTAAGGGAATAAAAATCCTAAACAGAATTTGCTCACCTAATAACATGCAAAGAGAAATTCTAAATCTTTCCAGGTGGTTTTAAAGCCATGAGGTCACTAAAGCCTGTTCTCTTTTGTTCATGTTTCAGTGTTCTCAAAAGTGTCAGAGGACACACAGGTTCTCCCTGTTGTTATCTCTTTTATGGCGATAAAAAAAAACAGAATATGAGGCTTCTGGGATTTTCAGCAGTAACGACCAAAGATAGTCTAAGATGAAACACCTTTGCTTTTATTTGACTAGATCAGTGAAATCTTACTACAAGGACAAAGACACTGAAAAGATTGAAACAAGTGCTCAGTTTGCATTTAAAAGTTTTAATTCAGAGCTCATATGCATTTTGGTCCAGGTATGGCTGAGCCCAGTTGAGGCAAAATTGTGAATCTTGCATACAATCAGAACTGTATCTGCCTTCACTGCCACAGACACATCCGCTCTTTCTCTAAAGACGCAGGCTTGAGCTAGGAGCAAGTTTTTGTTCTTCCTGGGCAAGAAATTAAAGCAGGAACAAGAATATCTGCGTCTAAGCAGTCGGTAGAGGTTACAAATCACAGCTGTCATTGGTAAGAAAAAGTGAACACTGCAGAAAGACATCTAAAATAAATGCAGTGGTCTCATGTGTGTTCAGCCACTGCTCATTAGTCTTTTACATTTAGTACTGCAGAGAAATCTGCTGATACCCTTTGAGACAGTATTTCCATCTTTCTCCCTTCTGTGTTCACTAGAACTCATCCATTAGCATTTCTGCTGAGTGCCCTTCAGCTGATTTGAAAGTGTCAGGACTGACTGTTTGCTGAGTCTGTCCCATAATTTTAAAATCCAAG